CTCTAGCCTGGGCAACAAAAGCCAAACTCCATCTCAAAAAAAAAAAAAAAATCAGTAGCCCTAGGTTCTGGTCCCACCTCCACATATAAAACTAGGCAAGTCATTTCCTTCTCAGCTTCTTTTTTTGTATTTGTGAACTGAGCATGATTATACTTGCCTTGTCTAATGCAGTCTCTGATCGGTAAAGTGCCTTGGTTATAGTCTTTTTTCTTAAGAGTATGGGGTAGGGAACCTAGGTCTTCTGATTGTTTGTCCATTGGTCTTTAATTATAGGATGCCAGTATGTGGCTTAGTAGATGGGGAGGAGGGAAGGGTGATTTGTGGGATATGAAGTAAACAAAACTTAAAGTCTATGTAAAGAAGTGCATTCAGGATTAGGGGACAGGGAGGGCAGGTAGTGGGAGAGGAGAGGTAGGAAGGCTTAGGCAGGCAAAGAGATCCTTGATGTCTGAATTCCAGGAGGGAGAGAGGTAGATATTGGAATAAAGATAGAAAATATTACCTTTGCTTCTGTCTTTTCTTGTCTCGTAGGGGATTTGTGGGGCCCTTTGATCCTTTGTGTGACACTCGCATTGTAAGTACTTGCATTTTCTTTCTTTGTCCTTTGAGCTAGACTAGACTTTTTTGTGGATTTTCAAAATTGTGGGGGATTTTGATTGAATATTTAATTTAGGACTTGTATGACTTGTTGGACATGTTGCACTCCTTAGGTATTTAAGCCTCTAACGTCACTTTCCAAATCAATTAAAAAATGATGAAATTAGGCTCACCTTCCTTAACCAATGACATTTTAGTCTGTTTTAGCCATGTCTATTCAACAAATATTTATTTACTTATTTACTCTCTTGTTCCTCCCCGTTATTAAACTAAGTGAATTAAGGTTTAAGCACCCTTTGTTTGCAAACGTAATTCTCTGTAATCTTACTAAAAATATGAATGAGAATGAGAATAAATCAGAAGTAGTAGTGAAAAGCAAGATCGTGTTTCAGAGCATTGTACTTTTCCATACACGTTGTATGTAAAGGAAGAGGACAGAGGAAGGAGAGAAAGGTTACACTAGAGAGAGGAATATAACCATTGATAGAGTGGGAAAAAATACTGCCCTGGAATTCAGTTCGGAGTTCGCATTCTGACTCTACTGTCAGCTAGCTATGCGACTTCGAGCTACTAATAACCAATGTTTGTATAATTTTTCCCAGTTTGCAGAAAACTTTGAAATACTTTCTCTTACTTTAGCCACATAGCAAGAATTAAAATTATTTTCTTTTCTTTTTTTTTTTTTTTTTGACAAATAAGCTCAGGTTCACAAAGGTTGAGGATTTAACCAAGATCACATAATCAGTGGTAGACCTGAGATTCAACCTCAGGTTTCCTCACTACCTACTCTGTACCTCTAGGGTTCATTACACATCTCTTCCCACCTAGTCACTCTGGGTCTCCTCTTCCATATCTGTAAAGGGAGATGGTTGAGGGTCCTTTCCAGGCTTAACCCTTTGTGGGTCTAAATTCACTAAGTTTCTTGCTGACTTCTCTAATTTTTTAAATTTAAATTGAGCATATATTAATTTAGGTAATAATGTTGAGTACTATTTCTTATGCTTTTAGTAACTATGTCAAGGGATGCAGCCTAATGCCTTGATGGAGGGGTTTGTATTAGACATCTTGAGCATATATATATTTTTTTTTACTTTTGAAAGATTAACCTTATAGATTACATAGTTTAACCCCACTTAGTTGCAGAGAAAACTGGAGTCCCAGGACATCAAGTGACATATCTAGTGACAGAATTAGGATCAGTATCTGGGTCTCTTGCTTTCCAGGCTAGTTAATATTCTTTCCATCATACCATGCTGAAGCAATAGGGATTCCAGGCAACAAGTGATGAGTGCTGGCCATTCTTTGCATCTGGTTGTCAGGACTCGGAATGGAATATGCATAGCATAGAATACAAAAGCCTGTGTGTACTGCCAGGTAGCATAGCAGGGCAAGAAAGACTTACAGTGTGACTTCTCTATACTGTTTAATAAGAAGAGGTTGTGAGCTTACAATTACTATTTTTCTTGGTAATAACACCAAGTCCAAATATTCAAAACAGTTTACATCTGTAAAATTCTTAGACAAAGAAAGAATAGTTAAGTGGTTGTTCAACTACTCAATTCCAAAGCAAAACCCTTTAGTAATAATCTGTATGTTTTGATGTTTTTAAAAATCAACAACTAAAAAGGTTTATAGACCGTTTCCATTTTTGTTTATTATTTTTATTTTGTTTTGAGGCAGTCTCACTCGGTTACCCAGGCGGAGTCGGTGGTGTGATTACAGCTCACTGTAGCCTCAACCTCCCAGGCTCAAGTGATTCTCCCAGCTCAGCCTTCCTAGTAGCTACAACTATAGGCGTGTACCACCACGGCCAGCTAATTTTTTTATTTTTTGTAGAGACGGGGGTTTCGTCATGTTGCCTAGGCTGGTCTCGAATTCCTGGCCTCAAGCCATCTGCCTGCCTTGGCCTCCCAAAGTGCTGAGATTACAGGCTGAGCCACCATACCTGGCCTATTTCCATTTTTAAATATCTCAACTGAAACCTTAACCCAAGAATTGCAAATTCAGATATGTCTAAAGGCTAGAGTAGTAACCTAAATGCATGTAGTAGTGATATGGTGACTGTAAGCCCTTTGCACTTGTGTCAGCTACATTTAATTGTTGCAGTGTTGGAATGCAGGCTCAGTGTTAGAAAGTCTAATAGTTTTTTCAAGAAGATCTAGAAATTCATATTCTTATGTGAAATAAAATAATGTCAATTTAAATTCAAAATCATCTTAAATATTATATAAGCCCAAAACCTCATATCTGTGAGGTACATTTGACCCTTCAGTTTATAACCACTGCTTAAAAAAAAGGTCTTCAGTAATTCAACAAGGTCAAATGGAGCACCCCTTGTAGTCCTGAGGCATTTGGAATTTGCAGTAAGGGAGCCTTGCCAAATACTTGTGTCATTTTCCTTTTAGTACAACCTACATATTACAGATCTTCGGGTGAGGTTATAGCACAGCAATCTGATTCAAAGTTTGAGAACCCATGCCTTAACTGTGTTGCCCTAAGTAAAAGATTAAGCAATTCTTATGCTGTTTCCTTTTCTCAGAATGCTGCAAAGAGACTCTGTAGATAGTGAAAAAGATGGAGGGCCCCAGTTTGCAGAGGTGTTTGTCATTGTCTGGTTTGGTGCAGTTACCATCACCCTCAACTCAAAGCTTCTTGGAGGGAACATGTGAGTATTATTAAAATGCATTGTTTTTCTCCCTTGCCAGGTAGTATATCTTAGATTAAGGAAGACAGGCTAGTTAGATTTTTTTTTTTTTTTTTTTTTTTTGAGACAGGGTCTCAGTCTGTCACCCAGGCTGGAGTGCATTGTGCATTGGTGTGATCATGACTTACTGCAGCCTCTATCTCCCAGGCTCAGCGTCCCAAGTAGCTGGGATCCTCCTGCCCCAGCATCCTGAGTAGCTGGGACTACAGGCATGTGCTACTATGCCTGGCTAATTTAAAAAAAATTTTTTTTTGTAGGGGTGGGGTCCCACTGTATTGCCTAGGCTGGTTTTGAACTCCTGGGTTCAAGTGATCCTCCCACCTTGGCCTCCCAAAATGCTGGGATTACAGGCATGAGTCACCATACCTGGCCTGATATTTTTTTAAAAAGAAAAATCGAACTAAATAAGGGCCAAAGAGAAGTGTTCTTAAAACCACTACTACTGGACAGAGATAACCTTGTTGAGTTAAATTGTCTTAAATTATCTGAGGTCCTTTAATAAGCTTCAGATGCCCTCTCCAGGCCCTGAAATCATAGGCAGACTTTTTTGTGTAAGAAGAGTATGTACATTTTGGGGGGCAAGTGGTCCATAGCTTTCAACAAATTCTCAAGTATATTAAAAATTCTCAAGTATATATAAACTAGAAAGGATTAAGAACCACCATCTTAGAGGTTCAGAGAAAGATATCTGTAGGAACTAGAGCAGATCATCTGGTGTTAGATGATTGACTTTTAAGGGATCTGAGAGGAGAGGAGGAAGAGTATAGGGAAAGAAAATTAAAGCATGTACTTAATTTTTTTTTTTTTTTTTTTTTTTGAGATGGAGTCTTGCTCTGTCACCCAGGCTGGAGTGCAGTGGCACGAGCTCAGCTCACTGCAACCTCCACCTCCCGGGTTCAAGCGATTTTCCTGCCTCAGCCTCCTGAGTAGCTGGGATTACAGGCACCCGCCACAATGCCCGGCTAATTTTTTTGCATTTTTAGTAGAGATGGGGTTTCACCATGTTGGCCAGGCTGGTCTCAAACTCCTGACCTCAGGTGATCCACCCACCTTGGCCTCCCAAAGTGTTGGTATTACAGGCGTAAGCCACCACACCCAGCCAAAAGCATGTACTTAATAATTAATGTTAGGATGTAGATGTTATGTACCAAGAAGGAGGAAACAGTCCATTATATAGAGAAATCTATGTAATAAGCTGTGTCATAACACCCATCAGCTGTATTTATGATCTTTATTAATGTATTTTGTTTTTAAGATCTTTTTTTCAGAGCCTCTGTGTACTGGGTTACTGTATACTTCCCTTGACAGTAGCAATGCTGATTTGCCGGCTGGTACTTTTGGCTGATCCAGGACCTGTAAACTTCATGGTTCGGCTTTTTGTGGTGATTGTGATGTTTGCCTGGTCTATAGTTGGTAAGTATATACTTATTTCCACAATAACAGAACAAACAACATGATTTAAAGATGAAGACCAGATGAGGAGCAGTATAAGTCCAAAGTTAGATGTGAGTAATACGATTCTTGACAGTATTATCCATAGAACCCTCTTCCCTGAGTAGGCAATGATGGGGCTGCTGTCTATCTTATCTGAGTTGGATATCTGGACTTATAAGGTATGGAGAGTCACATCTTTTTTCTTTCTTAAAAAAAAAAAAAAAGGTTGGGAGAGTGGATTACACTACATTTAGCCCAGTCCTGGTATATAAAAGGCATTAGGTGACTTGTGAAATGACTGGGATCTTTTCCTGACAAAGTAATTAAAATAAAAATAATAGCATTTATGGATTGCTTATCAAAGGCCAGGCACCGTTTAAGAAATACTATTATTAGTCCCATCTTATAGATGAAGAACAGTTACAGAGAAGTTCGGCAGCTTGCCCTAGGTTGCATTACTAGTGAGTAAGAGAGTCAAATTGCAAACCAGGCAGTCATGAACCTTTAAGAACTGTACTATACTGCCTTTCAGTGTAGATTGTAAGCATCATTATATAGCACTTTTCTGCTTCAGTAGAACATTTTGCTAAAGACTAGGAAGGGCCTATAGCAATGATAATGAATGCTATGTGCTCATTGTTTTTACATTCCTAAAGTTCTCTTAAGATTCCAGCTTAAATTTAGAAGTGTTCACTAGCTTCTGCTTTAATGGATAGACAGACTGCTTAATATTTTTAAGTGTAATAACATCTCATTGCTCTGGAACATGGTTGAAAGCTAACAAGTAATCCAACAAAGGTCTGAGAGAGCCAGAATTGATATTCCAAAGACTGTATATTAAGCTTGGGTGCTTTTCCCATGGGGACAGTCCCTCATTCTCTCACTGAGAATCTCATAATTACCATACATGTAATTATACTTACTTAGTTATCCAGTATCCAGGCTCACAGGTGATCACGAAGTAGAATCATAGGAGAGAGCAACTTTAATTCAGCAAACAATCACAAACTATGTGTCAGGCATAATTTTAGGCATGGTCTTTGTCCTTGGAGTTCAAAATCTAACAGAGCAGCCCGACATGAAAGCACTTAAAGGCAATAGGTGTTCTAGGTGGGAGATGAAGATTTATACATGGTAACATGATTATTCAGGAAAGATTTCCCAGAGGTGTGATGATGATGAGGATGATTAGTATTTGAGACGGAGTCTCACTCTGTCGCCCAGGCTGGAGTGCAGTGGCACTATCTTGGCTCACTGTAACCTCCACCTCCTGGGTTCAAGCAGTTCTCCTGCCTCAGCCTCCCGAGTAGCTGGGATTACAGCTGTGTGCCACCACACCTGATTAATTTTTGTGTTTTTAGTAGAGATGGGGTTTCACCATGTTGGCCAGGCTGTTCTCAAACTCCTGACTTCAGGTGATCCACCCGCCTTGGCCTCTCAAAGTACTGGGATTATAGACATGAGCCACCGTACCCGGCTGATTATTTTCATTTATTTATTTGGCTAAAATATATATATATATATATGTTTTTATATTATTATTATACTTTAAGTTCTGGGACACATGTGCAGAACATGCAGGTTTGTTACATAGGTATACATGTGCCATGGTGGTTTGCTGCACCCATCAACCCATCATCTACATATGGTATTTCTCCTAATGCTACCCCTCCCCTAGCCCCCCAACCCCTGACAGGCCCTGGTGTGTGACGTACCCCTCCCTGTGTCTATGTGTTCTCATTGTTCAACCCCCACTTATGAATGAGAACATGTGGTGTTTGGTTTCCTGTTCATGTGGTAGTTGACTGAGAATGATGGTTTCCAGCTTCATACATGTCCCTGCAAAGGACATGAACTTATCCTTTTATATGGGTGCATAGTATTCCATGGTGTACATGTGCCATATTTTCTTTATCCAGTCTATCATTCATGGGCATTTGGGTTGGTTCCAAGTCTTTGCTATTGTGAACAGTACAGCAATAAATGTAGGTGTGCATGTGTCTGTATAGTATCACCCAGTAATGGGATTACTGGGTCAAATGGTATTTCTGGTTCTAGATCCTTGAGGAATCGCCACACTGTCTTCCACAATGCTTGAACTAATTTACAGTCCCACTAACAGTGTAAAAATGTTCCTATTTCTTCACATCCTCTCCAGCATCTGTTATTTCCTGAGTTTTTAATGATTGCCATTCTAACTGTCGTGAGATGGTATCTCATTGTGGTTTTGATTTGCATTTCTCTGATGACCAGTGATGATGAGCTTTCATGTTTGTTGACCACATAAATGTCTTCTTTTGAGAAGTATCTGTTCATATCCTTTGCCCACTTTTTGATGGGGTTGTTTGATTTTTGTCTTGTAAATTAAGTTCTTTGTAGGTTCTGGATATTAGCCCTTTGTCAGATGGGTAGATTGCAAAAATTTTCTCCCATTCTGTAGGTTGCCTGTTCACTCTGATAATAGTTTCTTTTGCTGTGCAGAAGCTCTTTAGTTTAATTAGACCCCATTTGTCAATTTTGGTTTTTGTTGCTGTTGCTTTTGGTGTTTTAGTCATGAAGTCTTTGCCTATGCTTGTGTCCTGAATGGTACTATCTAGGTTTTCTTGTAGGGTTTTTATGGTTTTAGGTTTTACATTTAAGTCTTTTATCCATCTTGAGTTAATTTTTGTATAAGGTATAAGGAAAGGGTCTAGTTTCAGTTTTCTACATATGGCTAGCCAGTTTTTCCAGCACTATTTATTAAATAGGGAATCCTTTCCCCATTGCTTGTTTTTATCAGGCTTGTCAAAGATCAGATGGTTTTGTATGGGCGGCATTATTTCTGATGTCTCTGTTCTGTTCCATTGGTCTATATATCTGTTTTGGTACCAGTACTATGCTGTTTTGGTTACTACAGCCTTGTAGTATAGTTGGAGGTCAGATAGAGTGATGCCTCCAGCTTTGTTCTTTTTGCTTAGGATTGTCTTGGCTATATGGGCGCTTTTTTGGTTCCATATGAAATTTAAAGTAGTTTTTTCTACTTCTATGAAGAAAGTCAATGGTAGCTTGACAGGGATAGGATTGAAACTGTAAACTACTTTGGGCGGTATGGCCATTTTAATGATATTGATTATTCCTATCCATGAACAAGGAAAGTTTTTCCATTTGTTTGTGTTCTGTCTTACTTCCTTGAGCAGTGGTTTGTAGTTCTCCTTGAAGAGGTCCTTCATATCCCTTGTAAGTTGTATTCCTAGGTATTTTATTCTCTTTGTAGCAATTGTGAATGGGAATTCACTCATGATTTGGCTCTCTGTTTGTCTACGATTGGTATATAGGAAGGCTTGTAATTTTTGCACATTGATTTTGTATCCTGAGACTTTGCTGAAGTTGCTTATCAGCTTAAGGAGATTATGGGCTGAGACGATGGGGTTTTCTAAATATACAATCATGTCATCTGCAAACAGAGACAATTTGACTTCCTCATTTCCTAATTGAATACCCTTTATTTCTTTCTCTTGCCTGATCGCCCTGGCCAGAACTTCCAACGCTACGTTGAATAGGAGTGGTGAGAGAGGGCATCCTTGTCTTGTGCTGGTTTTCAAAAGGGATGCTTCCAGCTTTTGCCCATTCAGTATGATATTGGCTATGGGTTTGTCATAAATAGCTCTTATTATTTTCAGATACGTTCCATCAATACCTAGTTTATTGAGAGTTTTTAGCATGAAGGGCCGTTGAATTTTGTTGAAGGCCTTTTCTGCATCTATTGAGATAATCATGTGGTTTTTGTCATTGATTCTGTTTATATGATGAATTACGTTTATTGATTTGCGTATGTTGAACCAGCCTTGCATCCCGGGAATTAAGCCGGGTTGATCTTGGTGGATAAGGTTTTTGATGTGCTGCAGGATTTGGTTTGCAAGTATTTTATTGAGGATTTTCACATCGATGTTCATCAAGGATATTGGCCTGAAATTTTCTTTTTTTGTTGTGTCTCTGCCAGGTTTTGGTATCAGGATGATGCTGGCCTCATAAAATGAGTTAGGGAGGAGTCCCTCTTCTTCTATTGTTTGGAATAGTTTCAGAAGGAATGGTATCAGCTCCTCTTTGTACCTCTGGTAGAATTTAGCTGTGAATCTGTCTAGTCCCGGGCTTTTTTTGGTTGGTAGGCTATTAATTACTGCCTCAATTTCAAAACTTGTTATTGGTCTATTCAGGGATTTGATGTCTTCCTTGTTTAGTCTTGGGAGGGAGTATGTGTCCAGGAATTTATCCATTTATTCTAGATTTTCTAGTTTATTTGTGTAGAGGTGTTTATAGTATTCTCTGATGGTAGTTTGTATTTCTGTGGGGTTAGTATTATCTCCCATTTATCAGTTTTTATTGTGTCTATTTGATTCTTCTCTCTTTTCTTCTTTATTAGTCTGGCTAGTGGTCTATTTTGTTAATCTTTCCAAAAAAACAGTTCCTGTATTCACTGATTTTTTGAAGGGTTTTTCGTGTCTCTATCTTCTTCAGTTCTGCTCTGATCTTAGTTATTTCTTGTCTTCTGCTAGTTTTTGAATGTGTTTGCTCTTGCTTCTCTAGTTCTTTTAATTGTGATGTTAGGGTGTCAGTTTTAGATCTTTCTCGCTTTGTCCTATGGGCATTTAGTGCTATAAATTTCCCTCTAAACACTGCTTTAGCTGTGTCCCAGAGATTCTGGTATGTTGTGTCTTTATTCTCATTGATTTCAAAAAACTTGTTTATTTCTGCCTTAACTTCGTTGTTTACCCAGTAGTCATTCAAGAGCAGGTCATTCAATTTCCATGTAGTTGTGTGGTTTTGAGTGAGTTTCTTAATCCTGAGTTCTAATTTGCTTGCACTGTGGTCTGAGAGACTATGATTTCCATTCTTTTCATTCTGTTGTTATGATTTCCATTCTTTTGCATTTGTTGAGTATTTTACTTCCAATTATGTGGTCAGTTTTAGAATAAGTGTGATGTGGTGCTGAGAAAAATGTA